TCTGATTCAACCACCAGTTCAAGCAGCAAGTCCTAGAATCTCATTACCCTCTGCGTGAAGTGGGTCCTCCTAATTTCTCTTTTAGATCCTAGTCACTATCCTATGCCTGTGTCTCCTGGTTACAGATTCCCCAACCAGTGTGAATGGCCTAGTTATGTTAACCTTATCAAACCCTTTTATAATTTTAAACACTTCTATTAGGTCCCCACCTTAAATGTCTCTTCTCCAGCAAAAAAAAACGGCCCAAACTCTCCAATCTATCCCGATAGCATAACCTGCCAGCTTCGGTATCATTGTAAGCCAGCATTAAGCACCCTGTGCCAGGGTGGGGCACTTTATTGAGCAGTGGGCTTTCAAGTCCATGACTCTGTTGTATAAACAATGTAACTTAACTGAGGTTGTAGCTTGTCCTGTTGCGTCCAATGATCTGACTTTGATCCTGTCATGACAGTGTGGGTTCCAGGCCAAAGGGACCTTATCAATCGACCTGTGTTCATGTGAGAACTAATGGTCTTAAATGTGAAACCTGAATGGTCTGGTCCATGGAATAATTGGTGACAGATCAGATACAAGCAAACACAGTTATGGGACTACTACAGAATGTATTGGACTGGAGTCTGTATTGGTTATGGAGAGAGGGTTTGCCACATGAGATTGATTTTTTAAATCAATGTCATTGTCCATAACACACGAACAATCTATTCCATCAAAGCCTGACATATCTGTGGTACCAGTGAATATTGGAATGGATTGGAGGTTGATTAAAACGCTGCAAGGTTCTCCCTTGAGTGCAAGATGTGTTAAAGGCACCAGGATTATGTGTGAATTGTTTTTTTTTCACGTGGTGCAGTGTGTGGCTACCACTTCTGGATAGAGGAATAAAGGAATGGTTGGATAAGGGATTGGATTGTTGGTATTGAAGGAATATCCCTTGAATATCATAAATTGTGGAGTCCTGGAGCGTATTGGTTAGAGCACTGATCGCGCAAGCGAGAGGACCTGAGTTCAATTCCTGGGCAAGGCGAAATGTTTGACAAGTTTCCTTACTCCACATGCCTCTGCTTACCTGGTCGTAACTAGGAACCCGGTTGTTAGTCGATCAGTGGATCACTTTAAAAAATAATCTCTTTGAAAAAAAATTTGCTCATTCAATCCACGACTGTTTGTGGGACACTGCTGCGCGCAATTGGCTATCGCGTTTCGCCCACAAATACACAGTCAATCCACTTAACAATATATTCTGTTGAATATACGGAAGACATCTCAAACCGTTCTCTGGAATATGTACTGTAAAGTGGTGACTGTGTATTTTGTGGATGAACACGGCAGTCAATTTGAGCCCAACACAAACAGCCATGGAGCAAGTGACCAATTTTGTGGGGCAGAACTATGGCAGATGGAGTTTAACATCACAAAGTGTGAGGAAGTACACTGTACACTGGAAGAATAGCAAGTGGGAAAAGCAACAACAACAACATCTTATAATATAATAATCCTTGCACTTGATATAGCGCCTTATCATGTCTTCGAGACGTCTCAAAGCGCTTTACGGAATATATATATTTTGTGGACGAAACGTGGCAGCCAATTGGGCATAGCAGTGATCCACTTTAGTTGTGGATTGAGTGACCAAATTTTTATTTTTTCTTCTTTTGAAGGGATTATTACCCGGAAAAATGATCCGCTAACAACCAGGTTCCTACTTACTGCTAGACATGTGGAGTAAGGAAACTTGGCCAGTGTTTGCCCTACTGGGAATCGAACCCAGGTCTTGCATGCGAGGCGAGTGCTATGAAGAAAAAGCTACTTGCAGTTATATAGTGCCTATCACGTCAGGAGAATGTCTGAAGGCACTGAACAGTTGAGGGTTTCATTAGGAGGGGTAGAGAAGCCAAGACTTCTAAACCGTTCAACTCCATAGATCACAAACATCTAGTTCGCAGGTGCAGAAAGCAGTCAATAAGGTAAATAAGATATCAGTTTTCTGATGAATCCTAGAATCCGATGGAAGGAGGCCATTCGGCCCATCGTGCCTGTGCTGGTTCTTTGAAATAGCTATCCAACGAGTCCCCAGCTAGGCTTCCTCCATAGCCTTACCAATTTTGTTTCTTTTCAAGAATAGTTATTAAAAATGCTTCAAAGTTAAGGTTGTGCTGTGCTTAAGAATTTGCCAAATTCCAGATACTGCGTAGAGTCAATCTGGAGCAAAGTACAATATGTCCCCATCCACCATGGGAGTGTTTAGTGAGATGTTTGTGATATGTATTGCAACTCATTTGAGAGGAGGGCTGATGCATTATGTGGTAAATAAATAAAGCTGCCTGCATTTATTACGGCTATTTCTGGCTCTCGCACACGCACTTGAGTCTTAACGCTGCTCGTTTCCATCAGCTTTACTGTCCAGAGCTTCGTACTACTGCATTACTTCATCAGAGTGAAAAGGAAGAAAGAATTTGCAACTTTTATGGGCTCAATATACTAAGCTGACACTTTTTGTTTGCTCTGACTTATACGGATAGAGTGTCTAAACCGGACTGAGTTCCACATATACATGCCACCCACGTGATAGGCACTATATTAATAATAATATTAATCCTTGCACTTGATGTATGTTCAAGACGTCTCAAGGCGCTTCAGAGAATATACTGTAAAGTGAATTGATTGTATGTTTTGTGGGCGAAACATAGCAGCCAATTGCGCACAACAGCGTCCCACAAACTGTCGTGAATTGAGTGACCAAATTAATATTTTTTTTAAAGAAATTTTGAAGCAGTTATTACCCCTGGAAAAGCGAACCAACAATCGACTAACAACCGGGTTCCTGCTTACTGCTGGGTAAACAGAGGTTTGTGGAGTAAGAAAACTTGCCCAATGTTTTGCCCTGCCCGGGAATCAAACCCAGGTCTCGCTTGAGAGGTGATTGCTCAAACCACTGAGCTACAGGACTCCACAAATCTCCCTATGTCTGAGATGGAATGTACACGCTCTCCCCGTAGAGATGAACAGAGATATGCGCTGCTTACCTAATTCCTTTGATTCTTAGGTGCTGAACCTGCAGAGCTTGCCATTCAGAGCACTGTCTGGGAAGCTTCCCACTGCTTGTCCAGCTTGGAGACACCTGTAGCTTAGTGGTTAGAGCATTCGCCTCGCAAGCGAGAGGACCTGGGTTTTATTCCCGGGCAGGGCGAAATGTTGGGCAAGTATCCTTACTCCACACACCTCTGTTTACCGAGCAACAACAACAACAACAAGATTCCATTTACAGAGCGCCTTTCATGTCGGGAGGACGTCCCAAGGCGCTGAGCAGTAAGTAGGAACAAGCAAATAGGTCTGACACCAGACCAGGGATTAGAAGATTTGTTTCCCCACTGAGAGTGTCTGACTCCGTTGGCATGGACTCACCACCATATTAATTAAAATTATTAATTTTAATCTGGTGTGAAGGGAGCTATATAAATGCAAGTTATTGTTGTTAATATTCCTTGAGTTTAATATAACACCTTTCATATCAGGAGCATGTCTCAAGTTCACTGTAAATTGTCACTGTTTATTTCTGTAGGAAAATAAGCTAACTTTTATAAAAATACTGGTTAGGCCTCAGCTAGAGACTGTGTTCAGTTCTAGGAAACACACTCCATTCCGGTCCCTTTGCTTCCCTCCCCCACTTCTCCGCCCCTCCTTGCCTCCTTCAAAACCCATCTTAAGACTGAAGACATCTTAAGACTTTCCTCTTTGACCGTGCCTTCAGTCATCTTCCCATCTCTTGCTCCTCCACCTCTCTTGAATCCAACCCCCAGCTCAGCTGCAAACCCTTGACCGCCAAGCACCTTGGGATGTCCTCTCAGCGTGAAGGGCGCTATACAAATAAAATTTGTTGTTGTTGTTGCGCAGTGGCAGGAATGCCCATATTGGTGCTACAGGATATAGTTGGTGTGGCAATGTCATGGCAATCAGTTACCCAGATGGTGCAGGGAGGGATTGCACAGGCAGAGAGAGATACTGTGCGTATCTCTGGGACTTCAGGCAACTTCCAGCCCCAGGTAGGAAGCCAGTTTTTCTCTGTCGAGCATATGCCAACCCACCTGTTGTCTTCAGTTATTCGAAAAAGACGTCCCAGTAGTTTGTGCAATAAACAATAGATAACACTCAATGGCAATATTCCCTGTGTTTAGCCAGCTATGACTACCCTACACGTCAGGGTTTTGGCTTGCAAGGTTAGCAGGAGGCGGTTGGGAATGATCCCAGCCTGTCCTTCAAAGTCTGTCCCTTTGGCTAGTCTGTCACCAGCAGTGCTTGATGGAATACATATAATTAACATTCATACAGCACTTTCCCATCGGGAGGATGTCTCAAAGCGCTTGAAGCAGTCTGGCGGGGCACCCGATATTAGGTAATAACACAGAAATAGGCCATACGGTTCATTGGGTCTGCAATCTGCACTTCTGTCTATGTGAAGCGTTTTGAGACATCATAAGGCGCTATATCAAATGCAAGGATTATTATTCTTATTATTATCATTATCTCCGCCTGAGCCACCTAATTGAATCCCATTCTCCTGCTCAAATCTCTTCACACCCTGGCACCTCCCTATCTCTCTGATCTGCTTACCACCCCCCCACTCCACTACCCGCTGTCTCCACTCGGCTGGCTCTGACCTCCTGCTTATCCCTCGTCCCGTCCACTCCACCATCGGTGGTCGAGCTTTCAGCCACTATGCCCCGAAGCTTTGGAACTCTCTCCCCCAATCCCTCTGCCTTGCCCCCTCTTTCCCCACTTTTAGAACATGACTGATGACCTTCCTCTTTGGCCGTGCTTACGGTCACCTCCTGTCTCCCCACCCCCCAGCTTGGAGTCTGGCTCCGCCTCTGTTAAGCGCTCCGAGACGTTACCTGGATGGAAGGGTGCTTGATAAATGCAAGTTGTTGTTGTGATCTTGTGAGGCTTGTGCTAATGAAAGTGTATCTTTTTTGTGACTGACGTGCCTTTCTCTTACGTTGCAGTGGAATGTATGGGCCTTGATCTGGCTTCTCTGCGATCCGTCAGGCAGTTTGTTCAGCGTTTCAAGGCAAAGAATCTTCCTCTTCACGTCTTGGTGAATAATGGTGAGTCACGGCAACTCCCTCACCTCCAAAACTCCTTCCCTGCACTCCCACTGCCCCAGTCCTTGCCGGGCTCTACTCTCTGTCACCCATTGGATCAATTTCAACCACCTTGCCCTCACATAACAACCTAATACCTCACTATGCCTCTGATCTTCTCCTACCCCAACCATCTGCTCATCCTCCCTCAAGCTGAGCTTTCACAACTGTGACCATAACCTCTGGAACTCTCTCTTTCTCCCCTCTGTCCTGCACCCTTCTCTATCTGTCTTTAAGACTTTTCTTAAAACCTGCCTCACCTCCCGCTTCTCCTCACCTCTCCTCACTTGGAGACCAAAAATATGTAATACATCTCAACAGATTCCACAACGCATTGAAAATTCCAATTTACTCAATGCATTTTTCACCTCCTTCACTTGGTGTCTACAATGGTAACTTCCCAGATCACACCAAGATATTAATCCTTCCACTTGATCAGTTGAGGCAGAATCACGTTTTAAGTATTATTTTACGATGAACTAAAGTATATTTTTAAAGGTAATCCTTGTGCAAATCATTCCCCGTGATGCCCAGATATGATAGAAGTGAGCATTGTGCAATTCAGAGAGGAGGAAAAATAGAATAATAATGATAATAATCCTTGGATTTGATACAGCCCCTTATCACATCTTCGAGACGTCTCAAAGCACTTCACAGAATATACTGTAAAGTGAATTGACTATTTTGTGAGCAAAACACACGGCAACCAATTGCACACAGCAGCGTCCCACGAACATCATGGATTGCCTGCCCAAATTATTATTGTTTTTTTTTCAATGGGGCTATGTTCCACTGGAGCAGACGAGACTGGAGGGAAGGGGCTTGGGTGGTAGAGATTCCCCCAGAGGATTGAGTTTAAGAGCCTCGTCCTCACCTTTGAAGCCCTCCACGGACTTGCTCCTCCCTACCTCTGTAACCTAAACTTCACCAACCTGTCCCTCCACTCGGTGGGCACTGGCCTGCTTCAAGTCCCCCACACCGCTGTTCCACTGTCAGCAGTCAGACCTTCTGCCTTTCTGGCCCCACCCTCTGGACCTGATTCCTGGAGCCCCTACACCTCGCCCCCTTCCTTGCCTCCTTCAAGGCCCGAATTTATACCTTCCTTTTCGACTGTGTCTTCAGTGATCTTCCCTCCTTCACCCTCCTCTTGCCCTCCACCACTCTCTGATCCCAACTCGGGTCCAAATCCCTGACTGTCCAGCGCCTGGGGACGTCCTCCCGACATGAAAGGCACCGTATAAATGCAATTTGTTGTTATACGGTCAAAGTTTCACCAAAGAGCGAGCGTTCGAACGTTAGACAGGGAAATAAAACTGTGCCCAAGGAAGCTGCCAAACCTCAAGCCTTCTCGATAATGAATCATCCACACTTTGCTATAATTTGCAAATAATATTTTAATACGTTAATATTTCATGCTTCTGAAGAGTATTCTGCTTGCTGTTAAATACTGAGCACCCCATTAGCCTGGCGTTAAAGGGCGATTGATTGCTCCACATCACAGAGTGCTTCATTGTGGTTTCCCTATCGCAGGTGGATTTTAAGATGTGTAATCACAGGCAGCCATGGGCTGAGGCACTATTGATGGTAAAGCAGTTAACAGCAAAGGTTGTGTTCACCATTCCTTAGACAATAGGGCCATAAAATTCAAGGCTGCGGAGAATTGAGGAGAGGTCATTAACTGAATGTTAATTTGGCCGCTGCCCTTTATGAACTGCGGACAATCAGGTGGAGTGCTGAGGGCTGCATCCTTAGTGGCGCTGTCTTTGGGAAGAGATGTTCAAGTGAAGTTTCACAGGATTTATCATAAAGTTTAGTGACTGTGTATTCTGATAATAAGCTTTGCATTTGATATAGCTCCTTATCATGTCGTTGAGAAGTCTTGAGATGTCGTTGAGATGCTTCACAGAATATCCTGTAAAGAATATATAGCAATAGTGTCCCACAAACAGCTATGGACAGAGTGACTACATTATTTTTTTGAAGGGACATTACCCCTGGAAAGCAATCCTCCAATCGACTGTAAAGTGAATTGAGTATATTTTGTGGGCGAAACACATCAGACAAGTGTCCCACAAACAGTCGTGGATTGAGTGACCCAATTTTTTTTAAAAAGGGATTATCCCCGGAAAGTGATCAACCAATCGACTAACAACCAGGTTCCTACATACTGCTGGTAAGCAGGCGTGTGGAGTAATGAAACTTACCTCAGGGTTTGCCCTGCCTGGGAATTGAATCCAGGTCCTCTTGCTTGTGAGGTAAGTACTCTAACCACTACACCACAGGACTTCACCTGTGTAGGAGATAGGACAGCACTCCCTCAACACTGCATTGAAGTGACATCTTAGACTATGAGTTCAAAGTCCCAATTTGGGGCTTGAACCCAGACCCTTCTGACTCAGAGGCGAGAACACTACCAACTGAACCAGGTTGAGATCTGCAGTTCCGACCAACTCCCTTAATTCAGTCCGAACATCAGACCACTGATCTGTGAGAATATACTCCACTCAACAGCTACTGTAATGATGAGAGATGTTACAGTATTGCTTGTGTTTCTGGTATAAGCTCCTTGTGAAGTGCGGGCAGGAATGTGCTACGGAATTTAATTTACAGTTGAGCAATTGAAAGGAATTGTCGGTTAATTTGCTTTGCTCTTTAAGAAGCACCAGAGGACTCGCAGGCAGATAGTTTGATTCATTACCCAACGGCCTTGTTAATTCAACGTCACACGTAATGAGATTATGGTCTCTGTACACAAGATGCAGCACCACAGGTACGTTGCCACGGGTAATAATCCTCTAATGAAATATAAGAGCGACAGCCTGGCTCAGTCGGTAGCGCTCTCCCCTCTGAGTCAGAAGGTTGTGGGTTCAAGCCCCCAAGTCAACGCTTTTAGCTCCCGGTCTCAGTTGACACTCCACTGCAGTGTTGGAAGAGCACTTCTTTGTTGGAGTTTGGATGAGATGTTAAACTGAGGTCCCATCAGCCAGTTCAGGTGGATGCTACAGAACACTGTTCAACCAAGAGAAGGGAGCTCAGTATTTACAGAACTCATCTAGCAAGCGAGAGATCTGGGTTCGATTCCCGGCAGGACAAAACTTTGGACAAGGTTCCTTACACCACAAGCCTCTGTTTACCTAGTAGAGTAAGTAGGAACTCGGTTGTTAGTCTTGACAGATTGCTTTCTGGGGATAATAATTCCTCCAAATTTCTTTTTAATAAAATAATAATTTTGCCAGGACACCCAGGAGAAACGCCCTTCTCTTAATAATGATCCTTGTGTTTGACATAGTGCCTTATCAACATGGCAGTCAATTGCGAACAGTGTTCCACAAACAGTTGTGGATTGAGTAACCAAATTATTATTGCTTCATTTTTTTTTGAAGGGATTATTACCCTTAGAAAAGTGATCCACCAATCAACGAACAACCGGGTCCCTACTTACTGCTGGTAAACAGGCGTGTCAAGTAAGGAAACTTGCCCAAAGTTTCGCCCTGCCCGGGAATCGAACACAGGTCCTCTCGCTTGCGAGGCGAATGCTCTAACCACTGAGCTACAGGACCAGTCCTGCTTGTAGTTTACTCAAATGATCAAATTACGTTATATAAATCTAAATTGTATTTAAATTTCAGCGGCTGTGATGCTGGTACCTCAGAGCAGTACAGAGGATGGCTTTGAAGAGCACTTTGGTGTGAACTACCTTGGGCACTTTCTGTTGACGTATCTGCTGCTGGACATACTCAGGCAGTCTGGCAAGGAGGACTGCAACGCTCGAGTTGTCACTCTCTCTTCCACCACACATTACGTCGGGGAGCTCAATCTGAACGACTTGCAGAGCAGGTGAGAAGTGTAGTGACTGTGATCTCCAGGCTCCGCACACCCATCATCTCCATCGACAGAGATTTACAAAGACTGTACAACGTGAAAAAAGGTCACTCGGCCCAACTAGTTTATACCAGTGTTATACTCCACACCAGTCTCCCCCCATTCCTCACTCCCTCCCACATTCTTCTATTCCCCTCTCCCTCATGTGAAGGTCCAGCTTCCTCTTGATTGTATCTACACTCTCTGATTCAATAACCACTTCAGGCAGCGAGTTCTACAATCTCACTACCCTCTGTGTGAAGTGGTTCCTCCTAAATTATCTTGTAGATCCTATTCCCTATCTTGTACTGTGCCTCTTGGTTACATATTCCCAACCAGTGGGAACAGCCTATTATGATCCCGTTTATACTTTTAAATACAGTGGAAACCGCTTTAGCCGGACCCTGGTTAACCTCGGACCACGAGTAACTGGACAAAACTCCTGGCCCCGAATCATTTGTATTTGTGTTTTTAATATGCCTGTTAATTCAGACAACAATCTGGTTAATCCGGACAGAATGTCGGGTTTGTTGCCGCTGTGTGTACCCACTCTGTGTCTCGAGCGGCTCCAGGATGGAGATGGGAGGAGTCAAATTGCAATTGATTGACAGCAGACTCCAGCCCATTCACATGCGGCTCCGGGGCTAACACAGTAAAGGGGCGGAGGAACGGAGAAGGGGAAGGAACCACAGAGGGAATGGGAGGAGTCAAATCGTGATTGATTGACAAGCCTGGAGCTGCTCATGATTGGGTGGAGGGCCCAACCATTCACAAGTGGCTCCAGGCTGTCAGTCACCAGGGAGCCTCCGCTAATTGGTCCCCTTCCCCTATATTGGGAATGGCAATGGGGGAGAGGAGGCATCACCTCTCCTCTGCTGGGCGGGCAGGGAAGAGGTAAGGTAACTTTGGTTAGCTAGGACGCCACTTAAGCCGGACAAAACATCTGGCCCTGATGTGGTTTCCACTGTATCTCTCTATTCTGTCCCCTCTTAAGTGTCTCCTTCTGAGCGAAAAAACCTGTCCAGTCTCACCTGACAGCAGTAACCTGCCAGCCCTGGTATCATCCTCATAGTCTGCGCTGAACTCTTTCCATCACTTCTATGTCCTGACCAAAAGACTGGACAGAAAGTTTGAAAAGCAGGACTAAACTTTGTATAAGGGGTTGATTGGAGGTTGCTGTGTGTCACATTGTGTTATGATGAAGGCTGTTCAAAGTGCTTGTGACAGCCGTTTCAGGGCAGGAACAAGGCAAAATAGCCGGGACTCATCTCAGATATTTAGCAGAGAGGGTTGATGAGCACAAGGGTCTGTTGCTGCGAGCCAGATCTGTGGCTAATCATGTGTCAGCCTGGCTCAGTTGGTAGCACTCTGAGGCAGAAGGTTGGTGTCCACTGGTTTGTTGGAAATACCGTTCTTTGGATGAGACGTTGATCCGAGGCCCTGTCTGTGCCTGTTTCTGAGAAGGTTAAAGATCCTGTGGCACTACTCGACAAGAGAAGGGAATCTTTTCCTCCCCCACCATCTCCAGTTAATATCAATCATTCACTTCATGGCTGTTTGTAGGACATTGTAGGACTGTGTGCAAATTGGCTACAAAAATACATGGTCACTACACTTTGCAGCAAAATCTGTGGAGCACTTAGAGACGTCATTGTGACATGAAAGGCACTATAACAATAATAATCCTTGTATTTCATATAGTGCCTCATCATGTTGTTGAGATGCCTCAAAGGTCTTGACAGAAAATACTTTAAAGTGAATTGACTGTATATTTTGTGGGTGAAACGCAGCAGCCAATTAGAGTACAGTCATGGATTGAGTGACCAAAATATTTTTTTTAAGGGATTTTTGCGATCCACCAATCAACTAACAAACAGGTTCCAGCCAGGTAAACAGGCGTGTGGAGTAAGGAATTGGCCAACGTTTCGCCCTGCCTGGCATCGAACCCAAGTCCTCTTGCTTGTGAGGCGAATGCTCTAACCTCTACACTACAGGACTCCAGTAAATTCACACCGTCCGGTGTGAGGGGCGCTATATAAATACAAGTTGCAAATATATAATGCAAAAATATAAATGCAAAATGCACATAATAATAATAATAAACCTCGCATTTATTAGAGTGATCGTCAGGATGTCTCAGGATGACCTGCACCTCGCAGGTCCTCTCGCGTGCGAGGCGAGCGCTCTAACCAATACCCTACAGGGCTCCACAATGCAAGTATCATAACTTATATCATAGATTGCAAGTATGAATCGATTAACCCTATCGCTGCAGGAAGCGAAAGGAAAGGCATTGATTTAATAATTAAACTGTCTGCTTTGTTCGAATCACTGAGTCACAACGCTGAATGGAAGAGCGCTTTCCGTAGCAGTTAGAGCACTTGCCTCATAAGCGAGAGGACCTGGGTTCGATTCCCTGGCAGGGCGGAACGTTAGGTAAGTTTCCTTACTCCACACGCGCTTGTTAATCGATTGTTGGATCGCTTTTCCGGGGGTAATAATTCCTTCAAAAAAGTAATAATAATAATAAATTGGTCACTTCAATCCATGATGTTTATGGGACACTGCTGCACAAAATGCACAGTCAATCACTTCAAAGTGTATCCTGTGAAGCGTTTTGCGTCGTCTCAACGATTTAATTAGGAGCTATATCAAGTGCAAGTATTATTAATATTATTAAAGCCACAGAGTAAGACCAGCCAAGCGGAGATAACACAGCCTCCCCCGAGCTGTTGTTTTGTAGGCAACTCGTTTGATGCAGTGACAAACATTGGCTGACAGACAGACGGGCAGAGCTGGTGATGGCTTCCTGCTGGCTTTCTTCCAACGAAAACCCATTGTCAGAGAGAAGTTGGCTTCAGGGAACAGAGCTGATCCAATTTGATTGGAACCCATCCCTCATCTGCCAGGTGTCCAGTATAATACTACACTGTCCTGATCTTCAGACATTGAAAAGGTTTGAGAAGATAAATGATGAGGAATTGTTTCTGCTGGTGGTTGGTTCAGGGACATGGGGCCATTGTATTAGATTGTAATATACTGTAATTATAATCTTCACACATCAGGACATGGAATAAGATCATCTGAGATGATGCTCCAATGCAGGACTGGGGGGGTGTTGCACTGTTGGAGTTTCCGTCCTTAGGATGAGATGTTAAACCGAGGTCCCGTCTGTCTGTTCAGGTGGATGTTAAAGATCTCCCGCAGCGCTATTTGAAAATAGAAGAGAGTTTTTCTCTCCCGGTGTCCTGGGCAACAATCCTTCAGATAACAATTGGTCACTCACTCCATCCCTGCATTCCTCTGCACCCCCCGACCTCTCTGACCTCCTCTCTCCTCAAAACAGTACCCATTCCCTTCGTTCCTCCGGGTCTGGCCTCCTCCGAGTCCTCCGCTCCTCCCTCGGTGGCCGTGCCTTCAGCCACTATGCCCCGAGGCTCTGGAACTGCCTTCCTCACTGCCTTTGTCTCACTCCCTCCCTTCCCATTTTCAGGTCTCTGCTGAAGACCTTTCTTTTCGACATCACCTTTTCCCCACCCCCTGGCTCCCCCCACCTCCCCCTGGCAGCTCCCTCCCCCTGCCTCCCCCCCTCGGCACCCCCCGGCTCCCCCCTCCCCCTGGCTCCCCCCCCTCCCCTGGCCCCCCCTCCCCCTGGCCCCCCCTCCCCTTGGCTCCCCCCCTGGCTCCCCCCCTCCCCCTGGCTCCCCTCCCCCTCCCCCTGGCTCCCCTCCCCCTCCCCCTGGCTCCCCCCCCCTCCCCCTGGCTCAGTCCCGGGATCCATTACTGTAAAGCTTTGAGACGCCGTCCAGCGTGGAGGGCAATATATAAATCCAAGTTGTTGTTGTTGTTTTTGTTGTGAGACACTACTGTGCACAACTGGCTATCGCATTTCACCAACAAAATATACAGTCACTCCACTTTACAGTATATTCTGTGAAATGCTTTGAGACGTCTCGATGTGAGAACTGCTATGTCAAATGCAACTATTATTATATTAATATTCCTTGCATTTGACGTAGTGCCTTTCACGTTAGGAAGAAATCCTAATGGACTTCACAGCATTTAGGATTTACTGTGAAGCGTAGTGACTGTGTATTTTGTAAGCAAATACAGCAAGCAATTTGCACCCAACAATGTCCCACAAATAGCCATGAAGCGATCAACCGTTTATTTTTCTCTGGGGGGTTTTTGGCCAGGACTTTGGGGGAGAAACTCCCTTCTCTTTTCGAATAGGATCTTTAACGTTCTCCTGAACAGGCCGACGAGACCTCAGTTTATTTTTATATGTCTCATTTGAAGGACGGCACCTCTGACAATGCAAAGCTCCCCCCAGGGCTGCATTGGAGTGTCAGCCTAGACTGCGTTGGTTCAAAGTCCCGATGTGGTGGATAGAACCCACGATCTTGTGATGTGGAAGCGAGAGTGCTACCAATTCAGCCAGGCTGACAACTCGGAGATTGAAAGGGGAAGTTAAGGACAAAGGATATTTATTTCAGAGGATTTATTAAAATATGAAATTATTGTGTTCAGGGGTAGCTGTTGGAATAAAGCCAACTGGGGAGAATTTAATCTGCTGTCTGAAGGGAGCAATGGGAATTTAATATTTTTTTTGGCCCAAAACGTTGTTTATTTTTATTCGAATCACTGATCACCATCCTGTGCCAGGAATTGAAAGCAAGTGCGCTCCACGTAAAGCACCGCAGCCTGGAATTAAAGCAAAATCCTTGCATTTCGTACAGCATCATTCATTCACAATCAGGAGGAGGTCTCCAAGCTGTAAAGTGCAGTGACTGTTTGGTTTTGTGGGCGAAACGCGGCAGCCAATCTGTGCACAGCAAGGTTGTGGAGTCCTGTAGCTTAGTGGTTGGAGCCCTCGCCTCACAAGCAAGAGGACCTTGGTTCGATTCCCGGGCGGAGAGAAACGTTGGCCAAGTTTCCTTATTCCATAGACCTCTCCCTGCTGAGCAGTAAGTTAG